CCCCAAAACCCCAAAACCCCATTATGCATAAATAGTTTCATATAAAAGTAAATAGTATTATTTATTAACAAGATATTAGAAATCAATAAATTGGCCAATAATGCAAGTTGAATAGTAAAGTATAATCCTACCTCAAATTGTAGGAGAATACAAATTTGTAAGATAATGATTCAGTTGCAATCAAATTTGAAATCTTAATGATGAAAAATTACTTAGTACAGTAAAAATAAATCTTACTTAGATGAATCAAGCATTTGACAAGTCAACTTTAAACAGTATAAGCTCATTGAAATAAATACACAGTCTGGGCTATATTCGCAGAGATGTTAAATTGGATAACATTTTTATTCACAATGGAAAGATTAAATTCATTGATTTTGGGTCAGTAGATTCTTACTTTGAAAAAGATTCCAACACTCATATAAAAGACTATGCATCTAGTCAAATAATGAGAGGATCACCTTGTACAGCATTAATCAACAGCCATAATAGCAAAGAAATGTCTCGAAGGGATGACTTGATTTCTGCAATATACTCAATCATGTAACTACATAGAAAATAGAGTTTGTAATGGCTACAATTATGCGAGGAATATACAAATCAATAGGATAAGGATTTTATTAACCAGCAAATATATCTCATGAAATAGCATCAGTCTCCAAACTAAGAAGACTACAAAGATGACATAATTTCTCAAAATTTAATATGTCTCCTCAAATATCTAGAGGAAATAGGTTTCTCTGTTAACCCTGATTATGATTTCTTGATCAAATGTTTAAACTGTATCACTGATTAATCTGAATTTATTCAGATATTCAGCCCAATAGCTCCTAATATTGTCTATAGATATTAATTAAAACAGATGAGAATTGATACCTCTTCAATTATATCCATTGACTAAAAATAGACTAATCAAAAAATCATCGAAGAAAATAATTCTAGTATTGTAAAGGAGTAAATTCAACTTAATGATAATCTAGAATATTAAATCCACATAAGCTAGATCTCTATCACTAAATATGATGATCTTCAACATTACCATAGTTCCAGGTTGAGTTTGAGTTAATCAATTAAAAAGGGAGAAAAGGATAAATCTGCAAAACATAATATATCTCGAGAATCTCAAGTTAATTAATAGAATAATGGTAATTTTTAGATTTAAATTTTAAAAGAAAATACTGGGAGTAATGAAACTTTTAAATCAAAAGGAAAGGTTTAAACAAATAAATAGTAAGAATATCGCTAAGATAATTTAAATAATAGAGATAGTTGTTGTGCAATTTATTGATTCATGATAAAACAAGAAAATATCGAGAGAGATAAGTCATAATTTTTTGGTAATATAATGATATAAATTTCTGTAATAATCAAAATTATCTTTTAAATACTTTTGACAACTAATAATAAATATATGATGAATCTTTGACTTAAGGGGTTTTGGGGTTTTGGGGTTTTGGGGTTTTGGGG